TTTAGTACTGTTACTTAAAAATCTGTCCTAGACTTCTCCTCCCCAAATTTGATCTCTATGACTATAGAGGACAGGGATATGATCATTCAAAAATGACATAGAAGAGGGAAAATTTTTCCAAAAGTCTCAAGAACTCCAGATACTGAGCACTATAACAGTTCATACATGAAACCCAGACTATGCAGCAGTACCAGCCTAAACACTCTCTTGTTAGTAAAGCTTCTCCTTTTATGCTTTCTTATGTCAAGAATATAATAAAGCAGGATAGTGTTCCGACACTGGAATGTCACAGGAGCTCACAAGGCAGGACTGCTGAGAGTAACAGGTACTGTGGAGGACCAGCTCAAGAAGTTTCAGAGAGTAACAATATTAGAAACTGGGCTAGGGACCAGTCTTGTTATATTTCAGCAAAGAATATAGCTGCTTTCTGCCTTTCTTCTAAGGATTTACTTTAGATTAAATTGAAAAGTAATGGACTAATTTCCTTGGCAAAGTAGTTTTCTAGAGAACTTAAATGAATGATTCTGTTGTATGGTCATTAGACATCAATTTTATGTGGGCCTACATTGAAAAAGGAGCAAGTAGGGCAAAGAAGAAATATAAAATGTACAATTTGAAGCAAAAGCAAAAGAAAAAAAGAATACCAGGACATTTAATGTTAGAGCCAAGGCTTGTGTTGAAAGAGATCAAGGAGAGGCCTTGACACACATTGAGATAAAGATAGGGCTCCCCTCAGAGTAAGATCTCACCCAACTAAGCTTTCGACATGTGGAATGAAAAGGCTTAAGACATTTTCTAATCCTAAGAAGAAAAAAAAACACAAAAACTCAAAGCTGTTACAAATGTGATTCTTCTTAAAGGTGTCGTGATTCACCCCAAGTTGGTAGATGAATTTGTCAGTATCATTTATATGATTCTGTCTTTAGAGTCATGAAGGATACATAAGTAAAAGGGATGTGCAATCTTCCTCTGTGGTTAACCATCACTTCTGAGGCCTGGCAAGTGGCAGGGGAAGTCCCTGCATGAGGGCTTGGAGAGGCCATTGTGTGAAGCTACAAAAGTGAAGCCTAGATTGTACTGGAGATCCCAAGAAGTTGATTACACCAGAGCCATGACACATTTTCCAAGGTAGAGAGGGAGTGGAACCATTCCAGGAGAGAGTATGTTGTAGGCACCAAAGATAGAAGGGCAGAACCAACTAAGTCCTCTGATATCAGACAAGGAACTACAAGATTTGGAGTTTGTCCTGCTGGGTTTGTATCTTCTATGCCATCATTTGTAGAAAGAAAGTAATTTGCTTTCTCATTTTACAAAGAGTTACAATTAAGAAATTGTCTTGCGTCTTAGAAGAGATGTTGAACTTTGGACTTTTAAACAGTTGAAACTGAAAGACTATGGAAACTTGCTGATGTACAAAGACAGCCTCTATATCATGACCATCCCCTAGCTCTATGCCATGCAGCAGCTTTGAATGCTTGGGACAGAACTGAAGAAGGTGGAAAGAGAACTAAGTCATTTACTAAAGTTATACGGGACCCAAAAGAAACCTCCACTGATTTTTTTTTTTACAAAGATTGTCTTCAGCTGTAAATAGAATGATACCAAATTCAGAAGCTAGACAGAAAATAATTGAATCTTTGGCTTTTGAAAATGCTAATTCACAATGCAAAAAGATAATTAGGTCTTTATAGACAAGGCCATCACCCACTGAGGAATGAATCTGAGATGCAGTCAATGTTGAATCTCATAACTATAATGATGCTTGGATAGAGGTGTAGCTGGAAGTTTTCCTGTCCTGCCCAGTCCTGCAGCCACTCAGACCTAAGGAAACACACAGAGGTTTATATCAATTATGAATTGCATGGCCAATGCCTATGGCTCAATTTTCTTGCTAGCCAGCTCTTATAACTAAACTCAGCCCATTTCTATTAATCTATTATGTTGTTGCATGTTCCATGGTTTTTCCTGTGTGCCATTTTGCTCCCTTGACAGTGGGATGGCATCACTTGCCTCTCCTTTCTCCTTTCATTTTTTCCCTTGGATTTTCCATTCTGGCTCCATTCTGCCCTGCCACAGGCCAATGCAGCTTTATTTACCAACAAATCAGAGCAGTACATATTCACAGAGTATAGAAAGACATCCCACAGCATAGAGGAGGTGATTTCCAGAGACTTGAAGAAAAATCAAAATGTCATGTGTTTTCATTGTGGCAAACAAGGTCACCTAAAAAGGAATAGTAGACAGGACATTCCTAGAAACAATGATTTTTTAAGAAATAATCAAAACAGAAGGCTCTCCCTTCTGGAGTATGCAGAAGATGCAGCAAAGGCCTACATTGGACCAATGAATGCAGATCAACAAGGGGCAGACAGGGTAACTCTTTGCCATTAAAAACATCTTGGAGGGCCTCTAATAGGCTCCCATGTCAAATATGGTTCAGTCATTCCCTGTCACCATGGGGGAAACTCCTCCCCAGAGCAATTAAAGGACCTAATGCCTATTGTAAAAAAAACCATGCTGTAGGAAGGGCAAGGGTCGAGGGAAAGAGAGCGGGATTTCCCAGCTGGATCAAGAACAGAGAGGGAGAACAAGGAATAGAAGATCATAGTAAATGAAGACCACATGAGAAAAGGAAGAAACAAAATGCTAAAGAGGCCCACAGAAATCCACAAAGATACCTCCACAAAAGACTGCTGGCAATGGCCGAGAGACAGCTGGGACTGACCTACTCTGGTGATGGGATGGCCAAACACCCTAATAGTTGTGCCAGAAACCCCATCCAAGGACTGAGGAATCTGGATGCAGACATTCACGGCTAGGCCCCGGGTGGAGTGCTGGGAGTCCAATTAG